GTTTGAGGAACATTACTTTGTCTTTTTTTAAGGTTGAGCGACATTTTATGTATAAAGGCCAGGGTTTGATGATTTTGTGTAAAGGGATATCTGTGTGAGAGGACTGTGGTATAAGTTGTTGTATTGTGTTAGAAGTGGTAAAGCTGATGTTGATTTCTGCCATTAGGGGAAGAATGCTTGCGATAAGATTTTTTCCAGGAGGAGAGTATTCAGGTGTTGGGATTGATAGGATTGATTGTGAAAGCCATCTTTGTTCTTGTAAGTCCCATAGTCGTATCTGAGTAATTTGGCCAAGTAGGCCTGTATCATTGATGCGATACATAAGTTCACTAATTTTGTGTCGTGATTGTAATTCCCACAGGTTTGTAAGGTTAAAGTAGTTTTTGTGATATAAGAGAGAGTTGGGTATATCTTGTGCAATGCCTGCTTTGGCTTTGATGAGTTTTTTGCAATGACGCATTATTGATGAGCAAAATGTTTTAGAAAGGACGATGAGTTGTGATTGATATTCGATTGCTGGAAAGAGGACGCTGTTAATTATGTATGCTATTTGTTGATGATTTAGTTTTTTCCGTGCTAGTATATGTGATATGTGCTGTGTATTGTGTTTGATGACTTGTTGTTGTTTTTGGAATTTGCCATCTCCACTTATCCATAAGCCTAGGTATTTTGTACTTTCTGAAGGTTGTAGAATTTTTATAGGTGTGTTTGCGTTTTCTATATATAGATTTGGTTAAGTTGTAGTGCTTTTGTTTTTGAGGAGTTGATGTTGATGTCACACATATTATAGAATTGGGTAGCTGAATTGAGAATGTTTTGCATGCTGTTTGATGAATGTGCGAGCCAGATTGTGTCATCTACATATGCACCGTGATTGATGGTTTTGGATATTGTGGACTGATTGAGAGGGTATATGAATGATGTCCATGCTGTTGTGGGTGGCCATGTTGTCCATGCTGCGCCGGCTTTAACTTGTGTTGTGAGTGGGTTTTGTATTGAGCCATCTGAGTATATCGTGAGTGGAACTTGAGAGTTGTTAAGTATGGAAAATATTTGTTGCCATGAGATTACTGATCTATTTGAGCCTATAAAATGTGGCGTAACTGAGATTTGAGAGGGAGAGGCTGATTGTGTTGATAATGATCGAAACTGAGTGGAGATGTGACGAGTAGTTGTATTTTGTAAGATTGTTTGTTCAAGCGTGGTGAACCATTTGGGTTTTGCTCCGTGTGCTTTTTGTCTGAATCGCTTTTTGTATTGTCTCCATGTGATGAGTTGTGCACCATTGTATTTTGTTAGTTGTTTGAGGAACATTACTTTGTCTTTTTTTAAGGTTGAGCGACATTTTATGTATAAAGGCCAGGGTTTGATGATTTTG